GTGGACCGGCAGCCAGTGGAGCTGACATATCAGGGGGGTGGTGTGACTTTTTTTCATAGCGATGTCTTGATGTGTCAAGGTATCATTTCTAGAAGACAATCCTATCAACACAGTGTACGACTTCATAGGCACCATTTACACTGACCATTTAATGCAGTTTGAAGCTAGCTGCGTTAAGATAGCTGCAATAAACTGCATTAAGTTAGCGTCAAACTGTGACGGCCAGACAATGAACTCCCAGAAAGTATGCAAAATAAAGGCCTTAAAGCTCATTGGTGCTTTGTAGTTTGTGTAATCGTTTGTGTAATAGGCCTTAATCTGGTTCCAGGATTTCCAATGTAATCAACTGCACAGCAAAACCACTTTCTTCAATACTGATTTAAAACTGACTTAAGTGTTCTGTATAGGTATGCCCATACTCTTCCTTCATGTCTGGATAGGCAACCAAGAGCCAGTTTTGGTCCAGGATCCTCCAGTTGTGTATTCCTTTTTGAGAACAAGGGGACGTAAAATGGCCCGCAGCAAATGGCCCTGACTTCACTTACATAGTTACCGTTTTAAAAGCTTTGTGGAGATCTTGTTGCAGTTCTTTTTTGTCTGTTGCTTTAACATAAATATCGACTCGGAATTAAATTCATGGAAATAATAGCCTCCAAGGTGAATGGTCTTTATGAACTAGAACAAAGCAGCTTCGGTTTGAACAATATTAAGGGAATAAAAATCAACTAACTTTAAATTTGACAGGTTAAATTTCATTTCTGAATCCTTGATTTTTCATGTGGGTTTTATCTTCTTACATTATTCAGGGGCTGTCCAAGAGATATTGGCTGAGAACAGTTCAGCTTAGAAAGATTGTCATGGAGAAGCCAGTAATACAGAAGGATGATTGCATTTATTTGAAAAGGCTCTGAAGGATAACAACAATTATAACTAAAAATGTACAGGTGCTGTCATGTCTTCAGACAGAAAATTAAATGAGAATGACTTTGTTACATGCACCTGAGTGAGGCATTTTACATTTTTTGGTTGATTTGAAATTAATGACAGTGTTGGGTGGCAACCAGAGGCACAAAACTTCTCAGAATAATTCTTGTCAGATTTCTCTATAATTTGTCACGCTGTCACTTTATTATTTCTGTCCTCAGTTCAGCCGAGGGTGCTGCATTTCCAGTTTGAAGGTTTGTATATTTGTTTGAATAGCCAAATTGTATATTTACTTTCTAGAATTACCAGAGCCAATCTTTGTTTGGAGATTATTCTAGTCTATTAGCTTGGTTAGAGCCAAATTGTATATATACGTCCTAGAATTACTATTTGTTGGAGACTATTCTACTTCTTTAGTCTAATTTGGTGGTATTACTCTTCCCACTGATCATTAAAATACGTTCATGATTTAACCATTCTTTATGTAAAGCATTTGATTTGGCTTTTGACTAGCTGTAACTAGACTTCATGCTATCCTGAGTTCTTGTGATATAGAGCAAGATAGAAAGATTTTAATAATACAGTTGGCTCTCCACATTTGCAGGTTTGACGTTTGCAGATTTGATTATTCATCAGTTTTACTACTATAATATATAATAATAAATAACACTTTATTTGTACCCCGCTACCATCTCCCCAAGGGACTCAGTGCGGCTTACATGAGGCCAAGCCCAAACACAACAATACAACCAATAATCACAACAATACAAGCAATTAAAATAAAACATAGGCAATAAACATATAACATTATCAATAGGACAACATCCAATTAAAACTGTGGGAAGGCCAAATGTAAAAATTAAAATTGGAAATAGTGTTGAGGCATGGACGAAAAGGTGATAGTGGTATTTGTGGAAGACATACGAGCAGACCTAAAAATATAAAGTGCTTCAGAGGGACAAAGTGCTATGGGATCATTATTCCGGGAAGGCACACTGGAACAACCACGTCTTCAAGTTCCTCCTGAAGAGTGCCAGGGTTGGGGCCTGCCTGATGTCCTTAGGGAGTGAGTTCCAGAGTCGAGGGGCCACCACCGAAAAGGCCCTCTCTCTTGTCCCCACCAATCACGCCTGCAATGCTGGTGGGATGGAGAGCAGGGCCTCTCCAGATGAACGAAAAGATCATGTGGGTTCGTATACAGAGATGCGGTCACGCAAGTAGGCGGATTGCAAACCGTTCAGGGCTTTGAAGGTAAGAACCTGCACCTTGAATTGGGTCCGGTAGATGAATTGGGTCCGGTAGAACGTATTCTCCCCTATGAACCATCAAGATTACTAAGATCATCTGGAGAGGCCCTGCTCTCGGTCCCACCAGCCTCGCAAGCGCGGCTGGTGGGGACGAGGGACAGGGCCTTCTCGGTGGTGGCCCCACGACTCTGGAACTCTCTCCCTCTGGAGGCCAGAACCGCCCCATCCATCCTAACATTTAGGAAACGGGTGAAGACGTGGCTGTGGAGTCAGGCCTTCGAGGAATGAGACAACACCATAGGACTCTGGATGGAAGTGGATATAGATCCATCTTATTAGGACGACTGACCACTGTAGTTTTATATTTAGTGTTTTTAAAGTTGTTTTGTAATTTGTGATATATGATATTTTAATGAATGTATATGTTTTTATGGCTGTAAACCGGGCTGAGTCCCTCACGAGGTTGAGAAGCTCGGTATACAAAACTGTGAAATAAATAAATAAATAAATAAATAAATGGTAACCAGTGGAGCCATTGAACAGGAGGGCTGACCGCTCCCTGTAAGGAGCCCCAGTTAACAACCTGGCTGCCACCCGTTGGATCATCTGAAATTTCTGAGCCATTTTCAAGGGCAGCCCCACGTAGAGTGCATTACAGTAATCCAGTCTAGAGGTGACTAAGGCATGGACCACCTTGGCCAGATCAACCTTCACAAATGTGGGGGTCAGCATGGTGTTGATGGAAAATGGGGCACTAAAGGCCCCCTAACAAAGAGTACAATTTCACTCAAACTTTCCAAATTGCCATGACTTTAAAAACACATAAAATGAATAATAGAATGTTGTAGAAATAAATGTACATTGCCACTGTTTTTTAAATCATTAGGCACTGCAAAGAATGTTTGTGCAGGATAGTAAATTAAAATGAAATTCATAGACTCACAAGCCAGAAACCATGTAATATGGGGTGTTTTCTTCCCTTATGTCATCAGCTCCCAAGACTTCTAGTGGCTTCCAGTTGCATTCTGCCTTTTTCTCCCTGTACATCAGAATTACATAGATCAGGAATATCTGACATACAAAGGGAGGCCCCTACTACAGACAGAGAAAGAACCCAACTGATTTTTCACTACTTTCACTCACCTGCAAAGATCAACAGAAAAACAGGCGATTCCCCAAGGACTACCTTGACGGTAGAATTATTTTGACCATTTTCAGAACTCAGTTACAAAGCAGGTTTTTGTTGTTGCAAGCAACACAATATAAGGAAAGCCATAGAAGGAACATGACAGGTAAATAAAAAGAAAAGTGTGTGTGGTGGTGGGCAGGAGAAGAAGTGGGGGACGTTAAGACAAGAACTGACGCGGGAGGGAACCCAAATAAAAGCAAGGCCTTAGATGGAAACAGCAGGCTCTACTTCAAATTAAATTTTCATGCTAATCTTAAATAATATATCTGGCACCTAGATATTTTATTGCAATGAAAGATAGATGGAAAAGCATGGGCTTAAATGAGACGAGCACCTTCACGAATGCTGAAGGGAACTGTAGAGCTCCGCAAAAGTAAAACGGACCAAACAAATGACATAGACATTGCATCCAGGAGCTAATTTAATGTAATGTAAACAAGGTGTTTGTATCTCCTTTGCATCCATGTTTGTCTGACTTTAAAGAGGGTATAATTCTTTAATTTTACACATGATAGCAAAGGTCTACATTTCAAAGCAACTTGTCAGCTGCACT